AATATGAAAGTGGTGATATTAATAGCAAAACTAATACGGTATATATGAATGTGGTAATAATAGAACGAATATGTTATATATGACGTTGTATCAAAATTGTTTTAATGTGATGTCACGCTTATATCATTTTGCCTTGTAGTAATGGCCAACGAAGGAAATGAAAACGGATCATCAGTCAGCGGTACCAACCCGATGGAACAGATCATGGAAAGGGCAGTCACCAACTTTTTACAGGCCTTGCAAAGTAGCATAACCAATGGGACAGTAGAAAGATGAGAAGGATCGACTACGATCAAACAATTTCAAGATCTGAAACCCACCACGTTTATCGGCAGTCCAAACCCACTAGTAGCAGAGGCTTGGGTCAGGGACATGGAGAAAATCTTCCGCACACTACCTTGCACGGAAAGACAAAAGGTGACTTTTGCCACCTTCACCTTCAAGGACAATGCACAAGGATGGTGGCTCCTTACCCTGGAAAAGGAAGATATTGTGACTTGGGCGTGATTTTTAGAAGTATTCTATGAAAAGTACTTTCCAGATTCACTACGGGAAACAAAAGCGTCAGAATTCACACAGCTAGCCCGGTTCGCGACATATGTCATTCCCACCGAAGCTCGAAAAGCCAGGAAATTTGAAGCAGGGTTGGATCCTAAAATTAAGGACAGGCTGGAGGTTCTGAAACTGCCAACCTATGCGGCGGTGGTAGATCGAGCATATATTGCAGAAAAATGGATTAAAGCCTTGCGATCTGGGGAGCCAAGTTAGAGGAAGCGATTTTGAGAAAGAGATAACAGAAGGCCCAGTGTCGCACCTCCGAAGAGAATAAATACGAGCATAACCAATTCAACCGGTCTAAGCGATCAAAGTCTTACAGACCCTAAAGGTGGCATCATTCCAACTTGCTCTACCTGTGGAAGGACTCATTGGGGACCATGCCGTCAAGATACGAGAGCATGCTTTAGATATGGCCAAGTTGGCCATTTACTGAGAAATTGTCCAAAGCTCGTCCGCCCCTTTGAACCAGTCCGAAAACCCGCAGTACCTGAAGGAGCAAGAAAAGACCAAAAACGCCAAGGAAGAACTTTTGCCCTGGTACCTGGAAACCCAGAAGTTATTGAAAATGTTGTGTCAGGTACACTCTCTGTTTGTGGTCACTTAGCCCATGTTCTCTTTGACTCTGGTCTAACTCATTCTTTTGTTACACCACACTTTGCTACCAAGTTAGCGCCAACACCCGAACCCTTAGGATACATACTATCTGTGTCTTTTCCTTCTGGAAATTCCGCCCTTAGTACTGATGTATACAAATCTTGCACTGTAACCTTAAAATGTGAAACCTTACGCGTAGACTTGATACCCCTTGGCATTAGTACCTTTGATGTAATTTTAGGAATGGATTGGTTAGCTGCTAATCGTGCCTCTATCGATTGTAAAAAAGGTATTCCTTAGGTCACCAAACCAACTCGAGCTTGTCTTCGAAGGAACTGGAGCCTCTCCCCCTCCCTGTATTATATCCTTCATAACAGTCCAACAACTGCTAAGAAAAGGTTGTTGTGGTTGTATCTGTTATGTGATTGATACTCAACAACAGACCCCTACACTTGATGCGATCCCCGTAGTTCGAGAATTTTCGGGTGTGTTTCTTGAAGACCTGCTTGGCACCCTAGTTGATCGGGAAATCGAGTTCACCATTGAAACCCAACCTGGTATACAACCAATCTCAAAGACCCCTTACCGCATGTCCATGGCAGAATTGAAAGAACTAAAAACTCAACTCCAAGAACTATTGAATAAAGGCTTCATCCGACCAAGTACCTCACCATGGGGAGCTCCGGTACTGTTCGTAAAGAAAAAGGATGGTACAATGAGGTTATGTATCGACTATCGAGAGCTAAATAAAGTCGCCATAAAAAATCGGTACCCCCTGCCACGAATTGACGACTTGTTTGGTCAACTACAAGGCGCCCAAGTGTTCTCAAAAATTGACTTGCGTTCTGGTTACCATCAACTAAAAGTCAAAACGGAAAGCATCGAAAAGGCTACCTTCAGAACCCGTTATGGGCACTACGAGTTCCTCGTCATGCCATTTGGCGTCACCAATGCTCCAGCAGCCTTTATGGACCTCATGAATCGAGTGTTCAAACCCTATCTTGACGATTTCGTCATTGTCTCCATTGACGACATTCTCATATACTCCAAATCGCCAGAAGAGCATGAACACCACTTGCGAAAAGTTCTACAGACATTACGTGATCATAAACTTTATGCCAAGTTGAAGAAATGCGAATTTTGGATCACTAGTGTACATTTCCTCGGTCACGTCATTAACAAAGATGGCATTTCAGTTGATCCCCAGAAGGTTATAACAATTGTGGATTGGCCACGACCTACCAACGTATCAGAGATTCGAAGCTTCTTGGGCCTAGCAGGCTATTACCGGCGCTTTGTGCAAGATTTTTCGAAGATAGTTTCACCATTGACCCAGCTAACTCAAAAGAACACACCCTTTGAATGGACGGACAAGCAGGAACGTTGCTTCCAAGAATTGAAGGGCAAACTCGTGACGGCACCAATATTAGCGCTCCCTGCAGAAGCAGAAGGGTTTATAATTTACAGCGATGCCTCGTACAATGGTTTGGGTTGCGTTCTTATGCAAAACGGGAAGGTCATTGCTTATGCCTCTTGCCAACTAAAAACTCACAAAAGGAACTATCCAACTCATGATCTAGAATTGGCTGTGGTGATCTTTGCCCTCAAAATCTGGCGTCATTATCTCTACGGAGTAGCCTGCGAAATCTACACCGATCACAAAAGTCTCAAATATCTGTTTACACAGAAGGAATTGAATTTGAGGCAACGACGATGGCTAGAATTTATGAAGGACTACGATATAGAGATCCATCATCATCCCGGCAAAGCTAATGTAGTAGCAGACACACTAAGTCAAAAAACGACCAAAAGTCTGGCATGTACCCTCGTTCCCCGCAAGATCCATGGATTGCTCGCCAACATAATCATGGAACCCGAGTTGATGAAAGAAATTAGAGCCCGCCAATGTGAAGATAAACTTTTGAAGAAAAAGTACGAGGAGCAAGGAAACACGCCTGATCCTGACTTTACAATAAGCAATGGGATGCTAAAATTTCGAAATCGAATTTGCGTACCCGATCTCCCAGAACTCAAGAAAAAGATATTGGTAGAAGCTCATAGCTCGAAGGTTGAGATCTATCCTGGCAATACGAAGATGTATCACGATCTGCAGGAACACTTCTGGTGGACAGGAATGAAAAAAAACATAGCAAACTATGTCTCCAAATGCCTGCGTTGTTAACAAGTTAAAGCAGAGCATCAGAGACCTGCAGGTATGTTGCAGCCACTCCCTATTCCCGAATGGAAATGGGAGCATATTATTATGGATTTCGTGGTCGGGCTACCGCAATCAGTCTCGAAGAATGATGCAATATGGGTTATCGTAGATCGATTGACGAAGTCGGCGCATTTTCTACCAATCAGAATCATGTACTCCCTCTCTAAGTTCGCTACTTTCTACATTAGGGAAATCGTTCGCTTGCACGGCACCCCAGTTTCAATCATATCCGATAGAGACCCCCGTTTCGTGTCTCATTTCTGGAACAAATTACAAGAAGCTTTGGGAACCACCGTAAGGTTTAGCACAGCTTATCACCTGCAAACTGATGGGCAATCTGAAAGGACAATCCAGACTTTGGAAGATATGCTACGTTTGTGCATACTAGACCTCAAAGGTAACTGGGATGATCACCTACCTTTAGTGGAGTTTGTGTATAATAATAGCTACCATGCAAGTATTGGAATGGCACCGTACGAGGTACTGTATGGAAGAAGATGTCGATCACCTCTATGTTGGACGAAAGTCGGAGACAGAAAATTATTAGGCCCCGAGATCGTGCAAGTAACGAGTGATAAAATTCAACTCATCTAACAACGAATTTGCACTGCCCAGAGCCACCAGAAAAGCTATGCAGATACTCAAAGACGAGACTTAGAATTTCAAATAGGAGATCATGTGTTCCTTAAAATCTCACCGACAAAAGGGGTAATCTGATTTGGAAAACGAGATACTCGAAAGGATTGGTCCGGTAGCATATCGTCTTGCGCTTCCACCCGAATTATCCAGTGTTCATAATGTGTTTCATGTTTCGATGCCTCGTCAATATCTTCGAGACCCAGAGCATGTTGTCAATCATGAGAACCTAGAAGTTCAAGAAGATCTCTCCTACGAAGAGCAACCTGTACAGATTCTCGACCATCGCGACCAGATCCTTCGAAATAAAACTATACCCCTCGTAAAGGTCTTATGGAGAGACTATCGTGTCGAAGAAGCAACATGGGAAACAAAAAGCCAAATGCGAGCCAAATACCCACACCTCTTCGAAAACCAAAGTACGTTAAGTTTTGGGACAAACTTCCTTAAGGAGAGGAGAAATGTGACACCTGAATGTTTTAAATTTAACATTACGATAAAATAAATAAATAAATAATAATAATAATAAAATAAGTATATATATATATATATATATACATGTAGTGATAATAATAATAAATAAATACATAATTTAGGAAATTGGGAATGTTATGGTTAAAGAAATACGTTGTAAAATACTACACATTAAATATTTTAATAAGTGGTAAGTGGTGATTTATAGTTGAGTAGTAAGGTTTTTAGACGTGAACCTAACTTATTATTATACGTAATTTTAAGAATCATTGTGGATTTCCAAAGAAGATAATAATGTTTAAAGTGGTAAATTGGTCAAATGGTCAAATAAAAGATATAAATTGGTCAAATGGTCAAGAGATAGAATTCAAACTAATTATTAAATAGTGGATAAGGGTGGACCAACGTACACACGCGTCAAAATTTCGGACCCTTCCGTGACTTCCTACCCACGATTACCCTCCTATAAATAGGAAATAGTGATATGTTTAAGGAACGGAAGGAAAAAAAAAAAGAAGTAGGAAAGAGGACGCACGGGTGAGCATCGTGAGTGGTGGTGGAAAGAAAGGATTAAGGAATTAATTTAAGGTGAGTTATATTATATTTTGGGTTATCAAAATGTATTTTACTTATATTTTAATTCAAAAATCTATTTTATACAAGTTATGTTTTATTAATATATTTATAAAAGTTATGTTTTAAAAAGGTGTCAGTTACTTGGTTTTATTTCTGAACTCTATTTGCTTAAAAGGAAACCCATGTATATGTTTGTTTATATTTTAAAGAATATTTGGCTATGCCCTTATATGAAAATATGTTTTGTGAGTACCACCACGGGAGTCTCATGCCTTGGGGGACTTAAATAACCATTGGCTTACTGATTGACCACTTTGTGGTCCAGTGTTTGTCGTGGATCCATTGACCAGTGTAGTGCTTGTCACTTAGTGATATACCGTGGTTATAGTGATTATTTCAGTTTCTGGCACTTAATTAATTTGTGTATTCAACTCAACTCAATTTATAATGTTTCAGCTTAAATAAATATCCATGACCATTTTGTGCCCCTCATAGTATAATATTTCTTCACTCTGCTATGTGCTTATAGCTGTTACTCTTTTCAGGTGACGAGGTTTAGCGGGACCAAGATGGAAAATGAATTGCTATGTTATTTTGTTTTTTTTAGATTTCTATCTTTTATTATTAAACTCTTGTAATACAGTGAAGCTCAAATGACTATGTTTTATTTCCTTTTAAATAAATAGTTGGTACCCAGTTATTTATTTTAATTTATTTAATTTATCAGCTTGCGCTGTGACTTCAGAATTATTCGAATTATTTTATTTTTATCTTGTTACGACGCTGAGCCTTGGGTACCGGGTTTGGGTCGTGACAAGTATTGGGCCGGACAAGCCCAACCCAACCTCACACCACGCAGTCGCGCCCAGGCCCCAGCCCGCCCGATTGGAGGACGGCGGCGGCGCACGCGTGTGGTGATTTTTGGGTCCAATGGGTCTAGCCCATTTTGTCCATAACCTCCCTCTCTACAAAACTTGGGTATCCCTTGGGGCACACCCCAAGTTCCAATCCCATGCCTTATAAACCCATTCAAAACTTCTCACCAAATCAATGTGGGACAAGCCATTTTTCAACCTTAAGGAATTTCCACCAAAGCTCCATTTCCATGGATCACACTTTGGCTTCAATTTCCCATTCACTCGATAATGGTTTTAAGCAATCAAATATACCACGTGAATCACAACGAGGCATAGAATGCGTTACCACTTTGACCCGCGAAAAGCAACGCACGGGGCCCACCTAAAAAATAGACCAAACTTAGGAAAAAATTCTAATTTTACCTAGAATTTTCCCAACTATTTCTAATAATCCCCCACATAAATAGAATTTGATGACAATGGAAATGCAACAATATGCAGACTTTATCGAAAGAGTATAAGTCAAAAATATCTTGCATCAGGATAGGTAGCTTTCGGCCTTGAACCTTCCTTAGTGGTAACCTATCGGACTTACTAGCTAACCAATGGATGCGATGCCTTGAAATGTTCAGCCGTTTGTGTAAGCTAAGACAATAAATTTCACACAAAATATCTTTTAACACATCGTGGTTCTCACTGTTGTGTTCATTTTGGCCTTGAACGCTCTTGGTTTTCATGAGTGTTTCTAGAAAATTTAGCCTCTTCATTCTCATAGAACCGACCCCAGTTCAACACTCATATAGGTGATTCTTATTGTGAGTATCTCCTTATACTTGTCTTGATTTTTATGCCTAAATCAAGATATAAGTAATCACTAAAAGCAAAGCTTATCTTTAGACCCCTGCAAACAATACATGTTGCAGATATCACTCTCACCATAGGAATGGGTAAGGAATTTTAATCCATTGGTGATTTCTGGCGAGCCGTACATAACTTAGTTGTCCCTTTGAACTTAGTTCTTGGGATCTCCAGTCATATAAGTAGGGTTACCATTATGATGACTCTTATGTAATAGACTTTAAACCCATCTCCTTCGATGAACTATACACTAGCTCTTTTGTCAAACCTTTTGTTAACGGATCCGCAATATTCTCTTTAAATTTTATATAATCTATTGAGATTATTCCATTTGACAACAATTGCCTTACGGTATTATGTCGACGGCGAATATGTCATGACTTACCGTTATACATATGATTCTGTGCCCTGCCTATTGCAGATTGACTATCGCAATGAATGCAAATAGCTGGCACAGGTTTTGACCACATTGGAATGTCTTCTAAGAAGTGACGAAGCCATTCTGGCTCTTCTCCTACTTTGTCTAAAGCAATGAACTCAGATTCCATTGTGGATCGTGCGATGCATGTTTGTTTCATGGATTTCCAAGAAACAGCAGCGCCTCCCAGAGTAAAGACATATCCACTTGTGGATTTTGAATCTTTAGTATCCGATATCCAATGATTTGGGAGTATTTTAACTGAGATACTGCATCACCTTTATTTTTTGATATATAAAGACTGATGTCTACAGGTGTTCTAACTACATTCAAATCACCCTTAATAAATTTATCAAGAATTTTCTCAATATAATGAGATTGAGATAACGCATATCCGTCAGATGTTTTAGTAATTTTCATTCCTAATATAACATCTGCAATCCACATATCTTTCATATCAAATCTTTTGTTAAGCATTTGCTTAGTTGATTTGATCATGTTTTGACTGCTTCCAATGATAACATGTCATCCACATAAAGACAAACTATGACATATCCTTAATCAGTGTTTTTAATATAGACGCATTTGTAACATTCATTTATTTTAAACTCATTAGTGAGCATTGCATGATCAAATTTTTCATGCCATTGCTTAGGTGCTTGTTTTAATCTATAAAGAGACTTTACAAGCCGACAAACTTTCTTTTCTTGCCCTGACACTACAAACCCTTCGGGTTGCTCCATATAGATCTCTTCATTTAGATCACCGTTTAACAAAGCTGTCTTAACATCCATTTGATGTATCTTTAAATTAAACAACGCTGCTATAGCAATAAGCATGAGAATGGATGTTATTCTATTCACAAGGGAATATGTGTCAAAATAGTCTAGACCGTCCTTTTTTCTGTAACCTTTTGCTACAAGTCTTGCTTTATACTTGACTATTGAACCATCTGTTTTCATTTTTCTCTTGAATATCCACTTATATCCAAGAGGTTTAGCACCTGGTGAAAGATCCACCAATTTCCAAGTAAGATTTTGCATAATAGATTCAATTTCATTATTAACAGTCTCTTTCCACAAAGGTGCTTCAGGATCTGTCATTGCTTCCTTAAAGCTTTGAGGTTCATTTTCTAACAGGCATGTCAGAAAATCTGGACCAAAGGATTTTGATGTTCTCGTTCTCTTACTTCGTCTTGGTTCATCATCAGTTAAATCCTGTTGGTCGAGACCATTACTAGTCTCTTGTGTTTGATTGTCATTAATCTCTTGACTTTGTGTATAATCATAAGTTCTTTTCTGTGAACTTAACACCTGTCCTTTCTTGTAAGGAAAGACATGTTCAAAAAACACAACATTCTTTGACTCTATAATAATGTTCACATTTATATCAGGTATTTCTGATTTATAAGTCAGAAACAAATATGCACTACTATTCTGAGCATAACCAATAAACACACAATCTACTACTTTTGGTCCAATCTTAGTCTTTTCAACTTTTGTCAAACACCCCCACACTTTTAAATGTTTGTAGGAAGGTGGTCGACCTTTCCACAATTCATAAGGAGTGCTGTTAGTTTTTTTATGGGGTATTCTGTTAAGAACATAATTAGCAGACAATATTGTTTCCCCCCACAAGTTCTGCGGTAAGCCTGAATTTAGTAACATGGCATTCATCATTTCGTTTAGGGTTCTATTCTTTCTTTCAGCAATTTCATTTTGCTGAGGAGAATAGGGTGCTGTAGTTTGATGAATAATGCCATGTTGTGCATAAAATTCATTTAATGGTGCATCATATTCATCATCCCTATCACTTCTAACCATTTTAATGGTTTTACCAAGTTGATTTTCAACTTTTATTTTGTAGAGTTTAAATATTTCTAAGGGTTCATCTTTACTTCTAAGGTGCCGTTTGGCAAGAGAAGTTCGGGCTATATTAGCCAAATGGAGACAAAAGCTTGTCAGGTGCTTGGCAACAACCAATGCCAAGGTAAATTTACGAAACTACCCCCACATGAAAGAGGGGTATCGCCTCAGCACACAAAGTAAAAAAAAGAACATTTTTCCAAAAAAAACCTTTTTCCAGAAAAAACAAAGAAAGTTGAAAAAAAAAATTAAAAACAGAAATTAGCATTTGCGGTGTAATTTAAAAATAAATAAAACACATGAAAAATCAATTTTCAAAAATAAAAATAAATTAATGTATACAAATACAAATAAAAATAAAAATAAAAAAGACAAAAACGTAAATTAAAAAAAAAGAACCACAAAAATACGTCTCATCCAAAAAATAAAAAAATAAAAACAGAAATTAGCATTTTTCAAGTAATTTAAAAATAAATAAAACACATGAAAAATCATTTTTGAAAAATAAAAAAAAATTAATGTATACAAATAAAAATAAATTAAGTCAAAAACGTAAATTAAAAAAAAAAAGAACCACAAAAATATGCCTCATCCAAAAAATAAAAAAAATAAAAACAGAAATTAGCATTTGCCACGTAATTTTAAAATAAATAAAACACATGAAAAATCGAAATTAGCATTTGCCACGTAATTTTAAAATAAATAAAACACATGAAAAATCATTTTTGAAAAATAAAAACAAATTAATGTATACAAAAAAAAAAGAAGACAAAAACATAAATTAAAAAAAAAAGGAATTCCAATTTAATACGCCTCATCCAAAAAAAAACTAAAAAAAAAGTACAATGACGCTGAAGTAGAGGAAGGAGCTGGGAGTGAAAAACTAAAAATCACAGAAAAAACCATTTTCAAAAAAAAATAACCAAGGTCAAACAAATAAAAAAAATAAAAAAAAACAAAATCAAAATTTATCATGTGCCTCAGTAAGTACATTATGATTTTTGATATCATTTTAAATAAATTACATGAGAAAACATTTTTCCAAAAAAAACAAACAAGTAAAAAAAAAAAGAACCACAAAAATAAGCCTCATCCAACCAAAAAAAAAATTAAAAACAGAAATTACCATTTGCCACGTAATTCGAAAAAAAATGAAACACAAAAAAACCCATTTTTGAAAAATGAAAACAAATTAATGTATAGAAATAAAAAAAGAAATGACAAAAACGTAAATTAAAAAAAAAAGTACCAAAAAAATTCGCCTCACCCACAAAAATAAGAAATAAAAAAATAAAAACATAATTTAGCATTTATCACGTAATTTAAAAATAAATAAAAACACATGAAAACCCTTTTTTCAAAATAAAAATAAATTAATGTATACCAATAAAAATAAAAATAACAAAAACGTAGATTAAAAAAAAGAACTAAATAATGTATACAAAATCCCAAAAAAAAAAGACAAAAATTAAATTTAAAAAGAAATAAAACCATCAAAAGACGCCTTATACAAAAACATAAATTAAAAAAAAAATGATAAAAAGACGCCTGATACAAAAAAAAAAATTCAAAGAAAAAAAAAATGAAAAACGGCAAAATGACGCTAACGTGGAGCATCAACGGCAAGGAGTTGAAATGGGCAAATTATTTGAATGGCAGTTTGGTCATTTAACATGAATACACCTCACTAAAAAGTCAAAAAAGTTAAAAAGTC